GGGACTCGATCCCGGGACTCCAGGATCATGACCTGAGCCGAAGGCAGTCGCTTAACCAACTGAGCCACCCAGGCGCCCCATTTATTTGATTTTTATTTGCACCTGTATCTACATAGACACACACACACACACAGACACTGAAATCACAGTAGTACAAGATGCTAACACTGGAAGAGATCATCTTTCTTACCCACCTTCCATGAGAATCAAAGCCTAAAGCTCAAGTCTGTGCTAATAATACAGCACCCAGCAGCCACATGTGGGTCTCTGAATTTCAATTAATGAAAATTAAATAAATTTAGAAATTCAGTTTCACACTTGTCACATTTCAAATGCTCCATAGCCGGTTGGCTAATGGCTACCATATTGGACAACAGAGATACAGAACATTTCCATTACAGCAGAAGTCTTATTGAACAGTGTTTCTTTAAGATACCCACTGTGTGTGATGAGTTAACTTCTCTCCTGCGCATCTAGAATGGTACTCGTTATGCACCATTCTTGGGAGAATTGAGAAAATAGTTACTCTAGTCATTTTCTGTGTTCTGAGATTTGGGATAGGGAGCTTGGTTGAGAAAGGCCAGATGACTTTTGGCTTACAGATCAGAAAACTGAGGCTGAAGAGGAGGAGGAAATGAATGAGGTTGCAAAGACTTCAGACCCAGGTCTTTTGGATCTTAGTCCAGAATTCTTTCTAATACACCACCACCAATTGTTCAGATAACTGAAACCATTCAGTCAACACATGTTTGCAAGACAGATAAAAATAAAGGAGTTAGAAAACCCAGGGGTGGCCTTGAATTATTTATTCAGTTGCCCATGTGTGAGGACACAGGCTGTGGGAGGATCTGAATATGTTTTCTTAAGGAAAACCCTTGTATTCTCTTAGACCACAGATGTGAGGAACAGCAGGAGGACGTAGGGATAGCCAGGGGCGAGAGGTTGGCATTGATGGATGCAGTGGAAAACACCAGAGATTTTGTAGGAAAAGAGAATTTTCAAGTAGCTAAACAGCTCTGGGAAACTTTGTACAAGATGGGAGCTAATATTTCTTAAGCATAGAGTGTATGAGCTAGCAAATCACAGATGTCACGTCTCTTGGATTCCCCACAAAAGCCAGGCAAAGTGGGCACAATTATGGAAGAAGACTCAGAGGGTCAGAGAGAACCAGAGAGGTGAGATGGCTTGCACAAGGTCCCACAGACCAGGAGTGGTGGGGCTGAGAACAGAGTGCAGACCACTTTCCAGCAAAGCTTGTGCACTCTGCACCAGGCCAGTCTGCATGAATATAAACTCTGAGGGCATGGGAGAGTGATATCTCCATGTCTTTACAGCAATTTATTGAACTTGCTGATCGACTTCCTTTACCCATAGACTATGGTCTATGTAGCTGTTAACCCTAATTAGACATGTTTCTAAAATGTCCATTTTAATTTAACGTATGATAACTCCGTTATGAAATCTCAGACTGAACAGAATAGCTATTGTATGAGCCTCAAGTACCAACTGACTATAGGTTATTAAAAACATATTGATTGAAGCTGAGGGTACTATGTAATAGAGACATATCTCATTACACAACAATTAACCCTCCAATAGGTTTCCAACAATCAGATGGTACTTATTTAATGGACAATAACTGCTTTATGAAATACAAATTAAATACATACACGGGAAGCTTCATTTATAAAACTTCCATTTTTAAGTGGAACTGAGGCCAAGGCTTGACCAAAAGTCTGATACTTCTCATCGCCACAGAAAAAATAAATAAATCTACAGGCTGCTGGAAAGTCTGCTCTGAAGTGTCACATGACGTTTCCCAAACCCAGCTCTGAGCTCCTAGTGAGGGTGGCTGGGGCAGGGGAAGGCGGGCGGAGGGGAGGTGGTTATAGAGGGCCAGGGAGTGCATTTCCTTCCCCTATGAACACGTTCACCCAGCTGCCAAACAAAGGTTCTAGATTGAGGGACTGATGGCAGTGGAGAAAATTAGAGCCCAAATTTAATGTGGTACCATGATCTGATATGTATTTGTACAGGCACATGAGAGCTCCTTACCACTTTCTGTGGATCTTTTGAGGGGAGGGGTAATACCTCCTTCATAATTTAAGTTTTGGAAGGACTTAATGAAAGCACGTGCGGCCCAAGACAAGACGTTGCAAAATGTGAGTCAGAGCCCAGCTCCCAGCACCGTCTGTGGGCTCTTGGTCAAATCTCCTAGCATCTTTCACTCTAATTCCTGCCTTACCTGGCAAATGAGGAAGATGATTCCCCTTTCTATTTTTTTTAAAGATTTTATTTGTTTATTTATTTGAGAGAGAGAGAGAGTGTGCATGCGAACGAGGGGAGGGGAAGACGAGGAGGGAGAGGGAGAGAATTCCAAGCAGACTCCATGCTGATCGCAGAGCCCAATGTGGGGCTCAATCTTGCAACCCTGAGATCATGACCTCAGCTGAATGAAACCAAGAGTCAGATGCTCAAACTACTGAGCCACCCAGATCCTTCTTGATGATTCCCCTTTCATAGTTACTGGAGACTTTGCACATAAAGCCTTAATACAGAATATGACCCGGAGTAAGGACTTGATAAATGGCAACAACCATAACCACAGAGAAGTATTAGTTAATCATTAGCTGGTTATTACTTTCACCATCATCAATGGTATATCATCAGTTTTGGACAAAATGCCCCTAAGAAAGGCTGGGATGGGGGTTAAATACTAATAAGCCCTAAACTGTAGCCAAGTGTAGATGTCATCATCTTAATCTGTTTTCCTGACTCTTCAGAATCTGTTTCCCTTAAAGCTTGAGCTCCTCAGGGGGTCTCAATCCTGAAAGGCACCACAAGAGACCTTTGGATTCAGGACCCTGCCTTCAGGCCACTGAGGCATCATTAGGCCCACTTTCCTGTGGGAGAGGACCAGTTAAGGAGGGAAAGTGACTTGCCCAAGGTAGTACAGTTAGTAAGTGAAAGACAGGGGAGCAAAACTCTTGTGCCTCAGTTTATCATCCCTGATCTTCCAAAAATTCTACCCTCAATTCTACAACAAAGTCCTAGGCACAAAGATTCTAATTATATGTATTCATATATTCAAGTGTATTCAAGTATGTGTGTTCACGTATGGTGTATGAATATATACACATACACACCTTCATATATAATATATGTTACACATCTATCACAATTGTGCTTTGACCAGAGGCAATTTCAACTCCTGAGCTCATGGAGATGAAGCCAGCATCTCTATCCCAGAGGATGTTCCAGCAATAAAAGTTTCCAGGTGTTTCATAATAAAATAGACCCAAACATCCATTCATTGAAAGCATGTATCTTTACTTATTAATTCCAATGAGCACTCATTCATTTATCCCAACTCCCAAATTGACCACGTGTCTCTATGGACCCGTCACCGCTAGGTGCTAGGGGCTCCCGATGAACAAGAGCAAGGACGAAGAAAACAGCTTCCCTTCGGAATCTCCCTCGTCTTGGCAGGAGAGAGAGGGATCAACACTGCTCAGGCCACACTCACCTTTCAAAGAAGTGGCCATCAATGGGCGGAAACCACTCCAGCGTCACCGAGTCAGTCGTGTGGCCCATGATCTGGGGGGCCAGGGCGACAGGAGCCGGCTTCCTGGAGGGCTGCCAGCTCTGGTAGACCAGGTCCAGGTAACAGTGCATTCTGGCAACTTGATTGGGCGTGAAGGAGTCCGTGCAGTCGTCATCTGCAAGTGGGCAGAGGGCGAGATAAGAAGCCGCTGCATGACGTCTCCCGGAGGGGCCAGCCAGCCAGCCCCCTACCCCTTGCCAATGCAGAGCTGGCCTCTTCCAGTGCTCAAGAGCTAATGGTCTGTGAAGAAGTGAGTGCAGTCATCACTTCTGGAGGCAGGTAAGAGGGAACAGGAGGGAGGGGAGGGTGGATGGGCCTCAGTGGCCCAGAGGTCACAGCTAAGGACAAGGGCCAAATGGCTTTCCACGGGGCCCCCCCAACCCCTGGTCAGTAAGCCATGCATTCCCTTATGCCATCCCTCCCTCACCACTCACCCCAAATCTCCCAGTCATTCATTCCTCCACTTGTTTAGTCACTCACTCATTCCTTCACATTCATTCATTCGCTCATTCATTCACTCTGCTGTCCGTGGAGGCCGTGATACTGTCCTTCAAACTAACCTTCTGAGCATCTATCCCATATTCTCTGCTCCGGGCCAAAGGCCACAGAAAGATGAAACCGAAAAATGTTCCTGCCCTCGAGGAGGGACCATTCTAGGTATAGAGTGAAGGCGAGTCTGCTGTACGAGACAAGGTTATCAGAAGACTGTGAAAGTCTGTGATGCTGACCACTGATGAACAAGAGACAGCACCATGGGGAAGGACAGTGACCCAGGGAGGCTTCTGAAGAAGGAGGTACTTGAGGTCATCCAGACTGGAGGGCTAAGATGGGGAGAGAAAGGTCAGGGGCTGTAGGAGAGGGAGCTGCAGGCCCACAGGGACATGGAGTCCTTTGCAGCGAGCACAGCCAGAGAGGCAGGCAGCCCTAGGAACAATCCAGGCTCAGTGTCCATGCTGGGAATGAGGACAGTACTGTCACTTGGCTATTCACAGTGTGCTTAGTATAAGCCAGGCATGGTGCACTGAGCTTTGGACACATTTAACACTCCTACTATTTGGTGAGTAAATACTACTATTTGCTCCATTTTACAGAGAAGGGAATTGAGACTGAGAGAGGTCAAGCAACTTTTTTACAATCACAATGCTAGGGATACATCTGAGATTTGAACCCAGGCATTCTGGACTTCTAGACCATGTTTCTAATCAATATGAGAACTTCTTTCTGTGCATAAATGAGACCCTGTATGGGAAAAGTATCCTGCAGGTGCTTGATAAATAGGATTGTGAGCCCAAGTCTGAGTGGGCTGCAATACAATCTCTTAAATGTCTTTAGATCGAATGACCTTCAGCCCTACGCTCTTTTCTATAATGTGGACTGAAGACTGTCTGAGACTCGCCTCCTAAGGAAGGAGCCTGCCTCCTGTCTACTCCTCCACCAGCTTCATTCAGCTGCCCTAGGGGCAGAACAAGGCACTATTTTGGCTTGGTTTCCCAAAACACCACTTCCCAGGGGTGTCCACCCGGTCAGGGTTTCCGCAGCTGGGCCCCAGATGGAGGAGCACGGGGCTCACCAGATCTTAAAATAAACCTGCCACTGGGAATCCTGCAGCATAAACTCACTTCGCCTTATCAAACAAACAGAAAATAAGTTTGGGCAGGTGCTGTGTAGTTGGATGGAACCTTGAGAATCCAGGTTGGGGAAGGGACAGGAGTGAAAGGAGGTTATACATAGAAGCTCCCTCTGATCCCCTTAGTAATTTTGGACAGTCGGTCCCTTGTCCAACACCCTGGGCATGTCTTTCATAGCTTTGGAGAAAGGAGAAGAGCCCAGTGTCCCTTAGCAAGTACCCTTAGTCACATACATCTCTCTCAAGTCCACATGCAGCCATCTAACTCCTTGGATAGCAAACATCCTATGGTTCCCCATTGCCTGGAGAATAGAGTCCAGACGTCTCAGCCTAAGAAGGGCCAGATCATCAGGTAATGTTCTTTGTTCCTATGAACTTTGAACTTCTTAGTGAAAAAAAGTACCCTCTAGAAAAGCCACTGAATAGGTCAGAGGCAGGGGAAGGGATAATGGCTAAGAAAGTATGGCTAAAGAGCTAGACCAGTGTGTGAGGGATCCGGAGTCAAATGGGCAAGTGAATTCATGCCCTCAGCGCCTCAGTTTTCCAATCTGTAGGTGGAGATGATGAGGATACCAAGAATGTTCATCTCAGAACTCCACTGAAGGCTAAGGGGAGTGGAGCACAAAGAACCATGATAAGAATGCAAAAAATTCATTCTCTTTGATCTAGCAATAGCACATTCAGGAATTCAATAGACAGATATTCATGAACAAACAGGGGAAAATATAGGTATGAGGCTATTTTTTGAAGCATCATTTATAATGGTAAAAATATCAGAAATAACACATCTGTCTATTCATAGGGGAATGGCTATGTACGTTAAGGCATAAGCACCAAATAGAATACTAATCAGTCCTTTCCAAAAGAAGGAAGTAACTCTAAAACTCAGGTCCCACAGGTATAAATTGGGGACATTTAAATCAACCCCACTCCATAGAGTTGCTGTGGGGACTCAGTGAGCTGGAACACATAAAGTATTTATCAAGATGAACAGAGGAGAAAAACAGCATTTTCCCCCCTCCATACACTCTGGTTTGTTTGTTTCTTTCTTTTCCCCAAAGAAGTGCATTTTCCTTTCGTGACTTAAAAATTAGCCATTTCCATGTTTGTCAATAAAAAAGAGTATGAAAAACAGATAGGTGGCAGAACTTGGTAGGGGAACAGAAATGTATCTGAACTTGAAAACAGAAGTCCAAAAACGCCTGTCCCAGGATACATCACTTAGAGACTTTGCTGCTATCAGAATCTTATGGGGAAGGACCAAAGGGTTTCCGTTTATCACAAATGCTCTGTCTCAATTAGCTCATGTCTAGAGTCAGCCCCTCTTGGCTTCCTGCCTCCACACATTTCCCCTCCCGACATCTGAGCTCCAGGACCAGCCAGACCATCTTGTTCTTCAGTTCCCATTTTATCAGCAGAGAGGACTTCGGGGATCTCATCACTGTGGAAGCCTGCACCAGCCCCCATGCTGTCGGGGCTCGGCCCGGAGTTTGCTAACTGAACTTTGTTCGCCAGAACACATTACCCTCTGTAGCATGGAGACTGTAGAGCACGGGGGGTCAAGCCAGGGGGCCAGCGCTGCCGTGTGCTGTGGAACCAGGAGCAAGATGCTGCCCCCCCCACCTCCCACCCCGGCCAGCCTCGTTTTCACCCACTGTAACATAGGGAATAGTGACGTAACCGCCTCCTAAAGCTAAAAAGGGCATTTAACAAGCTAACCTATGTCTAGTGTAGGGATAACGGAGCTGCCCTTCATAAAAGCCCCTGCCTTTTTGGTTTTTATTAAATAATGATAGTGATACTAATAGTAATAACAATAAATGATTATATTCACTGTAAAACATGTGGAATATGCCCAAAGTGTTACAAAGAAATAAACATCCCCCTAAACTCATCACCTAGAGATAATATAATTAGTATTGAGTACATAGGTCTATGTGTGTGTATATGTATATTGCACGTGAATATTTATAATTCTCATTATCAGAAACACATTTACACCATATATATATACATACATTTATATATATACACATACATTTATACAAATATGTGTATAAATGCATATATGCATATATGTATATGTATATATGTATATGTATATATGTATGTATATAGAGAGATACACACACACATACATATATACATATACACACACACGTTTATATGCCAGGTCTTACACGGTACAAGGCTCTGTGACCATGTTCACATTGAAGTGTTAAAAAACAATCATATGAATTATCATTTATTGAGCACAAGTTATGGTACCAGGGACAGTTCTAAATCCTTTATCTGCATGAGTACACCTACTATCACACAAGGTAGGTGTGATTACCCTCCATGATATCCAGGAAGTAAATGAGGCTTGGAGAAGTACCTTGCCTAAGGTCAAAGGCTAATGCACAGAGGCTTCACGATCAGTGCCTGTACTCCCAAACTTTGTGCTCTGCACCACCATGTTCCTCCGCTTCTGTTTATACCTCTCTTGCATCTTCTACGTTACCGTTAGCAGCCACATAATATTCTATCATATGGATGCCTTGTGATTTATTTCAACAATCCATGCTCACTGGACTTGTAAGCAGTTTCTAATTTTTCACGCATATAAGCATTTTTTTCTTCACGCCTGGCAGAGAGTAAATACCTAATTGATATTTGGACAATGAACATTGCTAAGAACATTCTTACGATTAAATCCTTAAACAAATCAACAGATTTCTTTCCTTCGGATATATTCCTAAGAGCTGGGATGGCAGGGTCGAAGCAGATGTGCATATTGAAAGGCTTTGACACGCAGAACAATGGTAACAAGACACCTGCTCCTGCAGGCTGGACAAGGCCTGGTTTTCGCACTCTTGAGGAAGCCCCGACTAGAGGGTGCTCTTGGGAGGCCTCCTATTGCCTATCATCTTCAGGAAGTAGAGTCTGGGCTTCTGCTCTTCATCTGCCCAGGACTTATCCAGCAGCGCAAGATGACCATAAGCTCCTGGTGCTGAACTAGGGCATGCCCCCATCACCTGCCTGGTGTTTGCTGGAGCTGAGCACTTGGGACCCTCCCCACCTGCCTTAGCATCAGAAAGAGAGCCAGATGTTTATTGATCAATAGCACAGTCTCTGCAGTGAAAAAAGGCTTACCTTCCTCTTCTTGTGCGACCATGGGCAAGTTACCTAAGCTACATTAAACCACAATTTCTGCATCCATAAAATAGGTTCAGTAATAATAGTCCTTATTTTGAGGATTCTACAAGAGAAGCCTAGAAGCACTTCACACAGTGTGTGGTGTATCCTAGGCACTCAATAATGATTGTAGACCTGTGCTGACCAATATGGCAGCCACCAGCCAGGTGGGGTTATTTCAATTAATTAAAGTTACTGAAGATGAACAATTCAATTCCTCAGTCTCACTAGCCATACTCGAAGCGCTCATGAGCTACATCAGGCCAGTGGTGATCACACTGGACAGCATGCACACAGGACATGCCCATCTTTGCAGAAAGTTCTACTGGACAGCACTGTTCTAGACTCTTCGCTCTGCAAGTGACCAGGCCTGAGGAAGAAGCACCCAGGAAGGAAGGAAGGAACTCGGAGCAGTTGACCCAGCAGGGTCTCCACCCTCTGGCCTTGACTGCACAGCCCCTGTGCATAGCTCTCCCTGGTCCTGAGAACCCGATCCTGTTCTGCATTTTGAATTTCATCCAGCTGCTTTTGTCACCTCATCTATCAGAGATCCTAAGGAAAACAAACATTTCAAAGCTCGTGGTCGCCTTGAATATGCTTTTGCGGGTGTAAGTTTGTTATCGTAGCTCAGTGAATTAGTTCTGCTGTTAATGGGTCACTGAGCTGAGGGGTTCCTTTAAAAAAACAACAGTAAATCAATCACCCTTTAGATCTGTACAAAGAGGAACAAAAAAAAGATTTAGTTTATAGGGGTCTGGTAGCTAGTGGCAGCTCCGAGGCCCCTAAGCGTCCGGCAAACTTCCAAATTCATGTTATTGTTTATTTTCCATGTGCGTTGAGCTGGCCAAGGAAAGGTGCTACAGAAATGGAACGTAAGCAGGGCTGTGTGAGGGGACAGGGCACCGGATGTGGGATGTCAGCTTGGCTGGGAAGGGGAGTCCAGTAGGAAATCTGCTTTTTAGGAAATACCCAGCACTGTGGTCTTTTTAAAAGACCTAAACCTAAAGACCCCTTTCTGGTGCCAAGGTTGGGCTGTTGACCCTTCCAGAGACCTCAGGTTTGAATGGTAGGAGCCTTAAACTGCAGAAGCCCCCAGAGGTCATCAGCCCACATGGGAAAGCAGGAAGACTTATTGAGGATTATCAAATTCATGGGGTTTCAGCAGCAAAATCCTCTCTTCAAATGTAAAATGAGGCAAAAACCAAAGAAGAAATGGAAAACTGTGGGAAGAGGGCTTTCCTAGTTCAAGCAGAGATGGAGACCTACAGCCCCACACAGGAGTAGAAGAAAAAAAATGTCTGGAGTCAGATATGTGACCTGGGACAAATGACTTTAGTGAGCCACAGTATTACCATCTGTAAAATGGGGATAATTTCTACCCCACACATTTGTTGTGAGTTAAATGAGATAGTGTGTACTAATGTCCTTTATGAACCATAAATTGTTATACAAGGAGAAATATTAGAATTAATAAGAATCACTTTTCTAAACCTTTATGAGAATTTATTCATTTTCTTCCCTCTCTGCCTCTCTCCCTTCCTCCCTCTCTTTCTTCTTCTTAACAAACATTTATTAAGCACCAGGCTCTGTGCTAGGTGCTGGGAATATAGTGGTGCATTAGAGACAATCTCCGCTTTCACAGAACTTGCTGGTTTTCGTAGGGTCAAGAGACACCTAAGTCGAATATTATAATAGAATTCGATGCTGGGCTACCATGTGCAATTTGTGGATTGGTTTCCTACACTAGGGTTCCTGGTCTAAGAGGCCAGTGGGGAGGGCTGAGACTGCCTCGGGAAAAGAATGCCTTGTTCTAACTTTCCAAAAATGCTCTAAGGGCTAGAATTGGCCTTGATATATTCTAAAAGAAGTACAGGACATCTTTGAACCCAAACCATGAGTCCTTAATGCTATTACTGATGGTATAAAAAAGGGCTTTGACTGGATATACGCAGTTAGGAAAAGAATGTACCCCTCTCATGTAATTTCGTATTTGCAAAACCAAAAGCATTCTATTTTTTTTTTTTGTAATAAAAGAGTAAAGGAGGGCGCCTGGGTGGCTCAGTTGGTTAAGCGACTGCCTTCGGCTCAGGTCATGATCCTGGAGTCCCGGGATCGAGTCCCGCATCGGGCTCCCT